AGGAAATCCTTGGTGAGTGAAGCCAAGGTAGAGGACTAGGCTCCAAGTGGTTGGACCGAACCTCTATAAATTCATTGTGCAAGCTCTTCTTCTCTACTCTCCCTAATTTGGGTTTTGTAGTTGAAAAAGGGGAAAAGTTTTAGAACTCCAATTCACCCCCCTCTTGGAGTACATTGAGTCAACAGGAACAATCCCAAGGAAAATTTACAAGACAAGGAAAGGGATGGGTATCAAGTACATTGATAAAAGTCACACATGATGGAATCTCAGCTTAACACTTGATAAAAACTTCATGTCCTAAGTTCAATGAGTCAAGTACATCATATGAATGTGATTGCAAGTACTCAATTTATAAATAATACCACCCCAAGTGGAAGAGTACTTGATAGTCGAATGAAACAAAGTGGAGGTTTAGTTTTGCTCTTAATAGGTCCTATAACAGATTTTTGTTTTTTTTTTTTTTTTGATCAGCAAAGAAAATTTATTATTTTTTTGGAGTACAAGGGGTACTCCTGCCCTTTACAAATACAAGATCATCAGAACAGATTTTTGTTAAGGTGCTTAATGCGGGGGCACTTTTGATGGGATCTACCTATATGAGTGGAAGTGGTGCTGCTTCTAAGAATTGGGGACTTGACTCTAATACACTCATGAAAAGGATACAAGACATGTGGTCGGTTTTTGTGTCAGTGATGCTAAATTCTTATTTTGGAGAGCTTGATATCTTGTGTTTGACATGTGCCCATTTAGTCACTTAGAATCACTAGTTCAAAGCATTAGTCTACCATGCAATTCTGACTAATTTGCCAACACATGTTCACTATGTGAAGGTTCAAATTGCAAGATACCTTCATGGTATGCATAAGATTTCTAAAAATATTAATGGGCTGTTTTATTTTGAAAATGGTGGCGGAATGTTGGAGAATTTTCAAAATAGAGGGAAGAAGATAATGGTTAGGAAAGGGCATAAATGAAAATATGTCTTTTCATGTTAAAACTCGTCAAATGGAAGAGATATGTTTGTATGTGTCTTTTATCAACAGATACCTATAACCTATAAAAGCCTTGTCTTCATCCTCTTGAAAGAGTGATTCCAATTTGGATAATACATACAACATCCTACTGTTTTCAATATAAGACAGTCCTCTTTTGTGCAATAATTGTTGCAAAAATCTTTGTATGAAAGTGATAGTTTTGTTGCCAAAAGAAGTGAGATTCAGTGGTTGGTTTCGTCAGTGCAAGGCGTAATTAATAGGGCTTCATTGTATCCTATAGGCATTTTCTGTTAACCCCTTTTGCATCAAAATGGTGGGAGCAAAAATAACCTAAAAGAAAGTGGCATTTGCAGCATACCTTAAAGCCAATGATCTATTTTCTAACCCCCAATTTCCAATAGGACTAGTTAAACATTAGTAGCTTTCAATTAAGTTGCAATGGCCTAGCAGATGCCATAAGTAAAGTATTCTTTGCTTGCTACTTAAAAGGGTATTTCAGCTTGTAATAAATTAAAACTTCAATTTGAAATCCCAAATTCATATTTTAAGATGGTTGGGAAAAACTACCCCAACAGATTTGTAATGCCATTGTTCATGGTAAACATTCATTCATATTTTTTTGTTCTAGTAAGAACCTAGATTTCCTTTTTTGAAAGGCAAAGATGAAAATTTTATTTCAGGAAATAAAAGGGGCCAACCGGTTGCTCCAACCCTTGTACACTAGCAAATGATTTCAATTACATAAAAGCTCCACATCCTAAACAGCAAACAGTAGTCGAAAATTAAATTCTGTTATTCTCTAAAGCTTTCTTGCATCATCTCTCCAAATCTTTTGCATGCCTTAACCTTCAGAAAGTGTACTCTTGACAGAATCATTAATGATGTTTTGTTGATCATTTTGGCTGCTGATATCATTGACGTCTTGGTTAGTTTGGAAGCTAGCCTTGAGTTCTAGTTGGACATTTGGCTCTTGATTTGTTGCACCACCAGACCAACATGAGAAGCAGCCTTGTTGACCTTGCTGGCCTTGACCTCCACATGAGAAGCAGTCTTGTTGACTATTTTCCTTTTGATTTTTTGAGGACTGCTTACCTTTTTCCTGAACCAGCAGGCTGGCCTCCTCCAGATGAGGATTTGCCTCCTAGAGCATTTTGCTTTTGTTTTCTTGCACCTGCAGACGACTGGTCTCCTCCACATGTGAAGCAGCTGAACTTGCAGCATAGACACATATTTTTAGATGAAAAATGCAACGTAGAATGATGTCCTACTAAACAATTAGTTGATGTCTTTATTAGACAATCTTTTAGCATTTTATAGCCAAATAATTAGACCTAACAATACAAAAATATTAATACCGTAGATGATGAGGAACTTGGTACTTTCTTTCTCTGTTTTTCTTTTTCAAAAGGAAGTGATTCTTTTTGCATAATATACTAGTGTGTATTCATGAAGCTTGTATTAATAAACAACTATCGCGAATCGTTAGTTTTTTCGATTCCCACATCTTTTGGAAATTGGAATATAATAAATATTTTGGGTTAGCTTGAACGGACCACATGAAAAATACTGGAAATGCATGGTCGAATTCTTTCACTGTGATTTGGGTGTAAAACAGTCCAACGGAACTTACTAGATAGAGATTTATCCGATACTTGTAGACATGTAGACATGTATACATTGTTTTTGTAAAGTACCCATGAGTACTAATTAATGATGCCAAATTAATGTTTGTATTCTCACATATCTCACAGGCTCTTAGTGCTAATGAAACATTAACACTACTCTCCATTTCTTCCTTACAAAAAACACACCGCCAAGTGCTTAATTTGCACTTGTTAATTTCTAGAAGATCAGAAATGTGAAGTCAGGAATGTAACGTCAGGAATATTGAGTAAGCTAACTAGTCCATTATGTATTCATGAAGCTTGTCCTATTGAATAATCAATCATTTGGAGAATCATTACTTTTATCCAATTAATTCCAACATCTTGTGGAAAAGAAAGTTGCTGATCTTAGATGCTTGAGGTGGACTGCCCAGCGCCAGCTTGAGACCATTATATAGGAGAGCAATGCCCACGTGCTAGAACATTTGAGGAGATCTAGATTTGATCTTTCTGTGTGTAGAGCAACTTTCTTTAATTTGTTTGTTCTCTGTTTCTTTCTTTGCTATTTTTCGTCTTTGTTTCATTTCTTAATTTCCTGCTTGTTTCCAAAAGTTCATGTCACAATGAGAATGTGGACGGAAGAGGGAAAAAAAAAAAAAGAAGGGAAAAAAACATGTTCTGATCTTTATGTGCAGAGCAATAACATTGAAGAGATTGTGCTAATTAGTTATGAGTGGTTTGAAAGGTATTTAATAATATTTTGTAACGTGAGACAAAAAAGAGCATTTGGATAGAAATAACTCTCTCAAAGATTGCTGTGTGATATTTTCACTACTTTCTTTTTTTTTTTTTTTATCGATTGAAATGGTGTTGCAACTGATTTATTCTTTATTTTCTTTATAACAGGGGATAATCCTTAAACAAGTTTTTAACATGATGAGAAAATCTCTATTAATAGAAATCTCATGATAATGATCTTATGTGATTTGAGATAATGTCAAGATATCATGACATATCGATATTCTCCTAATTCATGGTACAAAAACCTTTATGGACTTTGCATAGTTATTTCAGTTTATTCTTTTCTTATGTATGAACAACCCTATTTATAGGGTAAAGGATACATAATATAAGAAAATAACAATTAATTAGAAATCTACCTATTAATGAGATTACAATAAATATCAAATCTTTGAAATCAATCAATTGATAAATTGATTTTTCATGATTTAATCACTCTTCATAATAGGAAAATCCTATTAGGACAACCTTTTTGTCCCACCTTTTTGTACAACCTGATATATTATTAAAATAATTGGTTCTTTTAACTTATATGAGATTCATAATATTGGATACATCCACTCATTTAATGACATGTGAAAGTTGTATAAAAAAATAAGGTAAAAAAGTTATCCCAATAGTACTACCCTTCGTGATAACATGATATTCTTTTCTTTTATAATTGGATCATATTTTTCTTCCTTTTATATTGGAGTCAATCATATTATGATTTGATCCCTTTTACTCCCTTCAAGTTGGAGCATGGAGATGTTAGTTGAGTGCACAATTTACTTGTAAATCACCTCTAAGGGCTCGTATAGAGAACTCTAGAGAATGGCCAAATAGTCTCCTCTGGCCTATTTTGTCCTTGTAAGAAAGTAGAAGGACTTTTTCTCTTTTTTTTTTTGAAGATGGCAAAACAGTCTCTTCAATTTGTG